AGCGGTTTTTGCGAGGAAAAACTTAATTTCAACAACCTACGACAGTCCTCCTTCAGAATGACAGCTACTGTTAGTTCAGAAAACAAACGAAGGGTTAAAATCATACACAGAGCTGCACTGTACTATAACACTTGAGAAATATCATAACACACCACACGCCAACAAGCTGCCGCACAGTGACAGACAACAAAACACCGCACATCGCTTACCCGAAATGTCTTCTTCCATGTCTATCGGGAAGGAGTACAAAGTCCACACAGAGGAGACAAAAACCTTCTTAAACCTCCCAGGACAGAAAATAATTCAGAGGAAAACAGCCGGATTCAATTGCGAAAAAAAGCAAGTACAGAATCAATCCTCTTAACGCCGGGCGGATGAGGGATTCTGCACACACACACACACAAAAATAATTTGTATGTATTGAAACTGGAGCGTATTCAACTAACACCAAACGTCCGGAAGCTGCGGGATCGCCTTAATCGGAGGTATAGATCCTAGATCGTTCAAGTAGTGTTTTAAATAATTGTGCAGCGGCGAGACGCAGGCGGAGCGCCGTGCAGGTCCACTATGTGTGAGCCCCCTCCACCGGCGCCGCTCCGCTTAGCGGCTACGTCACCGCCCGGCCCCGCCCCCGCCGCGGCCTGGCCCCCGGCACGTGACGCGCGGGGCCGCTCGTCTGCGAGACACCGGGGGCTGGTGTGTGTGGTGGTGATCCTACTGCGTTAAAAACTGACAGAATATTTGCATCACGGCATCGCACTTGATTATTGGACTCTAGGGGTTTGGTGAGACTGGAGGATGCAGTGTCACACAGGGAGAGAGACATTGACAGACGCCCGCCTTGTAATGACACGAGTATGGGGGTGTACGTTGTTATTCGGAGGTGTGCATCAGAAATTAAAATTCAAATACAGCCCGTTTCATTTACAGCAATAGGTATGAGTATTTACTGTATTAAACGTGACCAGTGCACGGGCGAAGGGTATTTTCAGTGCTGTGCCTCTGAAGTGAAATGTATACAAGTGGTTTGAATGTGTTTTTTACATCAATTCCTTAGTCGTAATCAAACCGGTTAGTAGTGCCGAAAGGCACATCTGATTAACCTGTCTGATGATCGTAACATGTACGTCAAATGAAAAGCAAATATATTTATATCACAAACTGAAAGTAGAGGCATGGAGTTATTGCATATCATTATGACTATGATAAAAAATATCTGCTTTTTTTTTACCGGCGCACATTGTGAAGATTTGCATTTCTGCAAATTCTCTGGCGTTTCCCAAGATCTGTCGCTTTATATCAAGAAAGGCTGCAGTTTGTTTGCACAATTTATTCACACTCATGATTGTATTTATGTGGCCTTATGTGTTTAAATATCTTGAGTAATTTATGAGTCTAAAGGGCCAATATCCCCATCGAATACTCCACAGTTGGGTGGTTTTCTCTCACCTTTCCACATTTCTGGAATAGCAGAAATCTGTCTGTGGCCCCAGCTATCTCATCTTAATGACAATCCGACCAAGCAGTCAGGACCTAAAGTTTCAGATCTTTTCCAAACCGTGTCCCCAAGTCACCACCCTGGGGACATCAGCGCGGAAACCGTGCTCCAGAGGAACAGCGCCACCTGCTGGCTGCCCAGCACCACTGACACCACTGACAGCGGTGAGTGGTTCCCTGTCCCGAGCAGGCCCGGCCCGGCCCGGCCCGGCCGCACGGCTCCAGTGACACAGCTGCTCACCCTCCGGGGATCCGCAGCGGAAATACCCGTGATGGCACTGTCACGACGGGCCAGCCCAGTGGAGTGTACGAGCGAGGCCGCAGACGCCCCCTGGGCACGACGTGAATGCGGCACGCGACTGAGGAGCTCGACGTGTGTGGCTCTGCAGCCCACGGTGACGTTCAGCTGATTCAGACGCTGCCCCCCCCCCGGCCGTTGGGTCTTCTTTCACCCTGCTAATGTCTTCAAACACGGGATGTTTCACGCCGGCGAGTCGGTTATTGACTTCCTCGGAGCGAAAGCCAACAGGGCCCTTTCAGCGACGGGGACCGCTGGGAGGATGAAGGGCCGCCATTCAGGGGCTGTGCTGTCCTCTGTCCTGGCTGGAATATAAAGCAGCAGATTCAAACGCCTGTATTGTCGGGGCCTGAAGTCTTTCGCTCCTGGCCAAGGCCGGTGAATTAGTCACTGCAGCTCGGCGGTGGCCTCTGGTTAACAGGAGCAGAATTAGCCCGTTCACAGGCCGACAGCTGGCATGAATGGAGAGAGAGAAAGAGCTGTGGCTCCAAAGAAAGGATCATTCATGCCCCTCGGGCTGTTTTGTAAATGGTCAAACCCGTCCCCTCGCCCGCTCCGGGGTCTAATTTACATCCTCTCTGAGAATGTGCCCTTTTCATCACGAGAGAGAGAGAGAAACAGGCAAGGTTTCATGTGCAGTAGTCTCATGTGGTCATTATTGTTATTAAATCACCAGAGTCTGCATTTGTTAGAAAAATCAGATTCATTCTGCGGCCTGCAATAAAATCAAGAGGCAGCGAAGGAGCACTGCAAATTCGTAGTCAGCCTCCAGGACAGCAGAAATTAAATGAACTCTGGCTGCCTTGCGAGATGGATGAACATCCAGTGAAACCTGAAATCGGTTCCTTCCTCTGCCCTTAGAGGGGAGACTGCTGTGCTAAACCGATTAGCACCCAAACACACTCCGCAGTCATTTTCACTAGAGTCGGTTGTCTGTGCTGTTCGTGCTTTCTCCCGGTTGGCATCGGAGACAGACCATCAGTGACAGCGTTAGAGCATTATTTCATTTTCCTCCTGGTTTTCCACTGTGATCTGTTAGCCTGTGCCACATGTTACAACAGGCAAACAGAGGAGGACAGAGCCGCTTTAGTTGAGAGACGATCTTTCGAGGGACCGGATGGCTCAGCTGACAGGCCTGAGCAGAGCTCAGGTCACCAGCCGACTGTGACCGGGGGTCACCATCGCAAATGGTGAGCAACACACCTCTCCTCCAATCAGAGCTGAGCATCCTGGGAGGGCGGGGGGGTGATGACGTGCCGAAAGACGATTGGCTCGAAGGGGGAAAGGGAGTGGTCTGCTTACACTTCCTCAATCTTCACGTGTGCGGGAGTGTGCGTGGGGTACGGAAATCAGAGCAGAGAACAGCAGCCAATGATCTGTTCCCAACAGGTAGACCAGCGTGAAAGTACGGCATTGCACTCCCACCTGGGAGACACACAGCGGCCATTCTGCGAAAGTAATGATAAAGTATCGTTAATTGTTGGGGGTTTTTTAAAAAAAGATTTTGCTCCTTTGTACTTGTACATGTTACATCCAGGATGGCAGACGGCCACCAGAAAGGCGAAGAGGGGAGGGGTGTTTCTGTTCATACGAACTAGCCGGGACATTAAGTATTTTTAAAAGAGTGCCTTCGATCCAAGGAAAGCAGCATCAGTGCGTTCCACTTTCCGTCTCCCCATCTGTGTTCAGATCTGAGAGAAGAAACAGGCCAGAATCGCCAGGAACTCCCCAGGCACGGAGCAGCAGGGAATGTGTTCCGAGGCGGCTCAGCGGTGTCCTTCCAGGAATGGGACAGGGACAGCAGGGGGCTGGCCGGAGCAGTGAGCTCATACCTTCCAGCGAGGAGCGATCAGACAGCCGCTACCGGAGAGCGAGGGGAAGCTCCAGAGGGCCCTTCCCCTTTCCTGGGGAGAAGTGCTCTGCGTCATGCCCCGGGAGCCGGGCGCCCTTCTGAGAAAACCACAAGGTGCTCATTTAGAAACTGAGAGGAGACGGCATGCTCAGGAGAAACAAAACAAGTCTGTGCTCCCGGCTGGCTGGAGTCCCTGTGTCCAGGTGGGGCTGAATGGCGCACAGTCCAGATCCCCGCCCTGCGGTTTCAGAAAGAATAGGGGCTTTATGTACGACACCAGGGGGCACTTCTTTACCCAAAGGGTGGTGGGAGTGTGGAACATGGCTGAAGCTGAATGCCCTCCCCTCATGCTCCCAGACTGATGAACTGCAGTAGCTGGAGGGGGGGGGTTGTGCTCCTGAGTTTGCAGAGTAAAGAGCGGCAGAAGTCGGCTGGTCAGAATGCGCCTCTGCACTCGCTGAGGACGCCCTGTAGCACAGGGGTCTGCTGGCTGGGGGCGGCGGGGGTCCGCAGGGTCTCTGTGACGGAGCCTGAGTCAGGCTGCCCCCCCCCCCCCCGGGGACGAGGCCTCTGACACAGAGCACGTACAGCAGCGGTCACCACAGTCACTGTCACTGTAATCCACCTTTCCAGGCTGTACATAAATAAACTCCCTCGGTCATATCCTTCCTGCTGGAGCGCCTCTGGCTCGCTGGCATGCCGTTTCAACCTCCCTCCTGCTCCGGGATACGGGGCAGCACAGTGACACACTGAACCCCCTGGTTTCTAGCTTTCTCTTTCATCTGCTCCTCAAGTTCAGGAGCTCGAGGGACGTTTGCAGTGAGCCAGACTCCAGCCCAGCGTCTCACACCCTTTTACCATTTCCAGGCCTAAAAATAGTCCTTCACTTACAGTTTACTGCTGCCAAGGAAACAGTGGTGCCAGTATTCGTGAAAAAAAGGTTTTAGCCTATTGATTCTTTGGCTGAGTAAAAAAGTCCACATTTGTTAAGAAAGCATCAGGGCAGATAGTCAGCACTGTTTGGTTATGATGGGGGACAGAGTTAATCCACTTCATCGTGGTACCTTAATAAAACCATTGTCTTGAATGTCATAGTGATCCTGCTAATTATGAATGGCATAATTAAGGAACTGGTAGCGTCTTACGGAGTGGAGCAGACTGTTGTGTCACTTGAACTCCTATGGAGTGCTGTGGATGTAGTGAAGATCTCCCAGCCGTGCTCTCTGGTGGCCGCGGCCGTGGTGTATAAACTGGATACAGCCCTGTTCTTGCTGCCCCAAACTACAGTCCATTCAGATACGTTTGGCTCAGCATCACATCCACTGCATGGCTCAGACTGTGAAAGCAACCTTTTGACACCCACTGGGATTACACCCAGTAATAGTTTTTCAACATGGTGTCAAAATTAGACCAAGCACTTACAAGGGCCTGGCCACAGCGCACACTCTCAGGATCACAGCGCGCTTCTGGAAAAGAACGCCTTTATTCTGTCACACATTGACCATATGTTTCCCCACATGCAAACCAGCAGAGACCTCTGCCAGCTCCTCCTGTGTTGGTATTTCAGAATCAGTCGAGACCACAGGCTCCTTTTTAGTTGCATGACCTCAGCTCATCATGCTAGTCCATATAAAAAAAACAGCCAGTTGACATACAGACTGCCATTACTGAGACCACCTTCCGGTTATCTCCTGTTCCTGCGATTTAGGGATGTCTGCTGTCTGCCTCCCCAGTTCAGACTCTTTGTGATCTGTGCCGCCGATGATGATATCAGCTGCTCATGCAGATTAAGACAGGCTGCCAGAGTGGTCTCAGCTCCAGAGCAATCTGTACCCAAATCTCTGAAAGAGCTGGATTGAGACCATGCAGACACGATGAAAAGAAATAACACAAGGATCCCTTTCTCCTCTTCAGAGTTCAGGATTATTTTTGTGATTTATTTTGCAGTGC